AGATTGTTGCGTCTCCAAGCAGTGATAGCCTCCAGGTCTCTTGTCAGAGAGGATTTAGTTTCTAGCCTTCTTTTTCCAGCTCAGCGGCAGAGATCGGCTTGACACTCTGAATTCCTGCATGTAGCGTGCTGTCATCAGCGGGGTCGTTGATATGTAAGAGAAGCAGTGTCGGAGCCAAGATCGATCCCTGGGGAACACCTGCGTTGACGTTGTGGGATGAAGAGGAGAACCCGTCAATTACGACGGATATCTTGCGGCCAGAGATAAAGTCAGCCACCCATCTGGAAAGCTTTTCTTGGAGGCCATAGGATGGAAGTTTGCTTAAGAGGGCAGCGTGCCACAGCTGATCTAAAGCTTTTGTGATGTCAAGAGCACCGACATGGGCCTCACCATAAGACTGGATGAATTTACTCCACAATTGCGTGACGTAAGCTAGTAGGTCCCCTGTGGATCGTTGGTGCCGGAAACCATACTGTCTTTCGCTAATCAAGCTGTGATGTTCGAGGTAGTCCAGAAGCTCCCGATATATGCACCTCTCCATCACCTTACTTATAACAGAGAGCAGAGCTATAGGCATGTAATTGTAAGGGTCGGTCTTAGATCCTTCTTTTGGGATGAGTTGCACATGAGCAAATTTCCAGTTTTCTGGGAAGGTGCCGGATTCATAAGATATCTGGAAGAGACGCGATAGAACTTTAGCAAGCTCCGCTGCACACCTCTTCAGTACAATAGCAGGAATCAAGTCCGGACCAGAAGCTTTGTTGATGTCGAGCAAAAATGGCACTCGTCTTACGGTCTTATGCCTGAATATTTCCTCCCGTATAGTGTAGGGAACCCTTCGAATTGGCGGCACTTGGGCATTGGGAAGGGGGGACGTCCATGGTGGAGTTGGCAGCAAACATCTTAGCTAGCATTTCCGCCTTTTCCTTTGAGTCGAATACAATCGTTCCATCCTGAGACGTAACTGGTGGGAGGTTAGTGAGTGAGAAGTTCTCTTCCATTTGCTTGTTATATTTGTTTCTGGACTCGACGTCGGTTTGTCTGTTATCTACAGTTGGGTTTTTGTAAGAAAGTTCTGTGTGCCTTGAGCTTCTGCTGGCGAGCAGTGTGACACTATTTGTTAAACTATCCTCTGGATCCTGGTTTAGACACTTTCACTGTGTGAGGGATGTATTACTCCATTCCGACGTGGATAATTTCGGTTATAGAAGAACAGACAGCCGACGCATCCGCGTCAGTGAAACAGACAGAAAGATAGAGAAGAAGTCTCTGAGCCCCTCCCAGTCGGCATGTGCGTAATGCGGCCTGTACGAGTTTCTGCTGCCACAGCGGGTTCTGACCGAAACCTAACCTCCACAACACCGTGGTCTGAGTTACCCAGGGTGGACAGGACAGCAGTCCTTTAAGGGACCAGCAGGCTACTGGCGTATGACGAGACGCGGGGGAAAAAAGTAGGGCTCGTCACCAGCTGGGTCAACCCTTGAGTAAGAGCGAACGCTTCGACTGCACGACCTGCTGCATCGGTCTTGTTTGAGCCTAACCAAAGCTCATTATGGGCATTGGGGGTAAAACACTTCAACTGGTCTGCGGTGGTGTCGTCACACACACCGCTACAGGAGAAATATTTATATAGTTAAGCAATATTTGGATGTTAGGAGTACGTACCACTTCAGTGGTCTGGGATGCTTTCATAAACGATGACTTAACTGTTTTTATATCTACACATATATTTTTTCGAATTATATGATCCCAAAAATGTACCACCAGTTTCGTCTAACCTTAAATTGGATTTACTTCATCTACGATAGTTCTCTGAATATTTCGTCAAGTAGATTGACTCATTACTTATGACTCATTGATTCACAACATATATGGACTGACAAAACGACATAAATAATAAATGAGAATCACGGACTGGAGATAAGCAACAGAAAACGTGTGAGCCGAAATTCGAATATTATCGCGACTTTGATACTTCGAAGGTGGTAGTAGTAAATTTTGAAAACTGATTCAAGAGGCCGCGGAAATAAAATCGCTGTAACATAGTGTTACAATGGTCCAGAGATTCCTGCTCGATTTCTTACTTTGTTTGGAGTGGATGAAAATTGTAGGTTAAAAGCTTTATGCGGTAAATGGCTGTAAATTGTTTCTCATTTGGTGTTAGTGAAAGACCTTATATTATTAAGAAGCTGCTGATCTCAGATCTCACCTGTTTGACATAATAAGTCATACATATTTTCCCCACATCTGCCATAGATACAGAAATATTATAGATTTGCTTTTTAGGTCGAAGGTTCATCGTACTTAAATTCACGATTCGATTTCACCTCTTGAAGCGATTTGTCTCATCCCTTTTCTTTGAAGCATCCACCGATGAAGTAGGAAGTATAGAGTCAACCTAATTGACGCCATTTTTTACCATAGCAAGAATTGAAAAATACAATAATTTGACTAAACTACACGTTTCCAACCGAAATATACTCAAGGCCGATTGCGGGTCAAAAGTTCCGTTGAGTAGCTGTTTTGACTATTTTATTGTGTTGTTATAGGTACCCAAGACACCATATAAGTATAATTTTTTTACCGTTAACGGTTCCTCGGTATCCTGTATAGTTTGTTGACAGGAATCATCTACTTACGATAAGTAAGTATAATAATTCTACCTGAGCATGGACAATACCTATTCTTCACTTTTTAAATGAAACTGTTAAAGATTAATCTAGACACATGTAGATACAAATTTTGAACTCATTTCGTAAATGAGATGCTCCACGACTCTTATCTGTGTTATTCCGGATCTATATAACAATGATAGTACTATTCGATAGACTATGTAAAAAGACTCGATGGATATTGTATAAAAATCGCTAGAAATTAAAATGATAGATACGAGTATATACATGCTTACAAAAAGTTGCTATGCGTAATATACTAAGTGACATATAAATCCGAACACCCAGTTTAAATGGTTTTATTTTAATAAAAGTTGGTGAATGTATTTATCTTACTGTATATAACAAGTGAAAAATTTTCAGCCTTATCAGTTGGACATTCCGGTTTTTATACTGCTTTTTTTTAATTCACTAATGCTCTAAAAATGAATATTTCAGCCGCAGTAAAGAATCAACGTTGGCGGATTTTGGTTCTTGACATCCTTTACGATCGGTTACGATGCCTAGAGTACGGAAACCTGTGCGATTTCGTCAACTTAGTGAGTTTGATAGGGGCCGTATAGTGGGACTTCGGGAAGCTGGACTTTCTTTTCGGGAAATTGCAGTTAGAGTGCAGAGAAGTGTAGACACTGTGGTTAGGTGTTGTCAGGCATGGCTTCGAGAAGGCCGTACGCAAAGAGCAAGGGGCACTGGACGCCGCCGTAGAACAACAGACCGTGAAGATCGCCGCCTAAGATTATTGGCCTTAAGGGACCGTTTCTCCACTACCAGGTCCATTGCAAATGAATGGTTTGCAGAACACGGGAGACCTATTGGCATGCGAAGTGTTTACCGACGAATGAGAAGTTTTGGCTTGTTTTCATACCGGCCACACTGGGTCCTCCCTTTAACTCGAGAACGCCGACGTAATCGCCTTGAGTGGTGCAGACAACGGTCACTCTGGGATCAGGAATGGAACAGTATTGTCTTTAGTGACGAGTCTCGATTTTGTTTAGGCATGCACGATGGTCGTGCCAGGGTTAGAAGGCGACGTGGTGAAAGGAGGAATCCACAGTTTTTTGTTGAAAGACATGTTCATCACACTGTTGGAGTTATGGTTTGGGGTGCTATAGCTTATGGTTCCATGTCACCTTTAATCTTCATCAGAGGCAACATGAACGCGCAGCGTTATATCCACGAAGTTCTAGAACCCCATCTTTTACCCTATCTTGACACCCCGGCAGATCCAACTTTCCAACAAGATAATGCCCGACCACATGTTGCAAGAGTCACAATAGACTTCTTTCAACATAATGATGTCACATTGTTACCATGGTCACCAAGATCTCCCGACTTATCCCCAATTGAGCACGTGTGGGATATGATGGGTAGGAGATTGGTCAATTTGCAACGTCCTCCTCAGACTCTAGAAGCACTTCGAGAGGAGTTGGTGGTTGCCTGGAATGAGATACCACAGGAGGACATTGACCACCTGATCAGAAGCATGCCTAGGCGCGTTGGACCATGCGTAGCACATCAGGGTGCATCCACACATTATTAAAGGTCAAAGGGCTTTAAACCAGTGCAATCATTTTGAAATTTTTATCATTTACTTATTATGCTTCCTTAAATTAAATACTTATACAAAATTTTATTAAAATAGAACCATTTAAACTGGGTGTTCGGATTTATATGTCACTTAGTATATATTGCAACAAGCATTAGTTCAAGTTCATGTTTAAAGTCTTGCCAAAAATAAAAATTGTTTCATATCTCAAGCCTACAATTTTTAACTAATTTTCTAGAAAATGATGGAGTAGTACGTGCATCATAAAGTATTTCATTGTCTAGCTTCCTGTTATTTATGTCAATGGCAACAATCAATTATTATTTTTAAATGTGCAGATTAAATGTCAATGAAAAAATGGTATCAGTTTATCTTGTGATGGTTGAATTAATTTGAAATAAAACCGATCGTTGAGGATGGTAAAGTCTAGCAGAGTTTTACGAAATAACCATTATAGAGACGGACTTGCCTACAAAAACATGTACAGTATGTTACCATGATCACTACACAGTAGAGGTTATGTAAGAGGCAACACTGGCTCGGTGCAAAATAGGTGCTACAGTTATGTGCACGGCAATGCAGAGGCTGGGGGTAGAGTTTTATGATTGATTTCCAGGCCGAGCACACACAATTTTTATTTACACCTTCTGAAACAAATCCTACAGGCGCCCATGGTAATTAAATAGGTGCTGATATCAAGATCAAAGCGACCGCCTCTGTTGCATCTGTGTCTCAAGCATCAAGATTTCACAATTTTTGTGACCATAGGAATTAAAACTCAGTGTATCATATAAACATATTTATTTGACCTGGATAGTTTTTTTATTACCTACTATGGCTTTATTTGAAGCAGGCGTTCTGTCAACTCTTTGGTCCAATGTCTTAACTGGAGCTTTTTTGGCCAAATTAGCTTTCGACTGGGTTGACATAGACATTTTTTGAGCACCTATTTTGCCAGTCGACGGTCTGATAGTTTTCTGATCAACAACTTTTTCCGTTTGAGTTGTATCAATCTCTTGATCCGCAGTTTTTGCCGTCACAGGTTTGACATGTTTTTGCTCCACCACTTTTTTGACTGCAGGTCTTACAGGCTTTATTTGAGCGGCAGATTTGACAGCTTGCATATTTGTCCTGGTCTGTGACTGAGTTCGTTCCGCGTAGATCCTTTTGATATATGCTAGACGTTTCCGCAAAACTTGTTTCCATCCCATGTCTTTGGCCATCTTCTTTTCTTCCGGAGAAGGCTTTCTTTTCAGTACCTTCGTGAATACCTCATTCCATACCGAGTCCGTGTTACACAACTAAAAATAATGTAACACTTGAAATTTTTCCTGTGTCAATAATCCCTTATATTTGTCTAGCCCATCAAACCACGAGAGAAATACTAGTAGTATTTCGACATTTAAAGGAAACCGTGTTGTTTGTCTTCGTGCTTCTGATCCATATAGGTCGGCTGTCTGTTCATCCATAACCGAAATTATCTACATTGAGATGGAGGAATACATATAATGAAAGCTCCTAAGCCAGGGTCCAACGGCTGGTTCAACAAATCGTGCGACACCGCTCGTCAGCAGAAGATCAATGCACACAAAACCTTCTTATAAAACCCCATTGTAGATAATAGAAAAGCCGACGTCGAGTCCAGAAACAGATATAACGAAGCGGTCCACAATGCCAAAGACCAGCACAAACAAAGACCTAAGATATAACCAAAGCTCGCTACGTTTTGAAGGATAATGCCTCAGTATGTTTCTTCTTAGTTGTCTTGTGCTTTTCTTTGTATGAGTTGTGCTTTCATAAAATCAGCATTAGAGATGTTCTCTTATGTTCTATTTTGTATTGTGTATTATGTTTTATACGTAAATTGTGTGATTGTTATTTTTTATGGGTATTGTACTGAATAATTTCTAACATATTTGGATTGATTGACCAGACAATCATGTGGGACTATCGATAGCTAAGAATATTTGAGGTACCTCGAAACACTCATAATTTAAGATACTTAGTACCAATTCTCTCTATTTTTCATATGGAACAAATGAAGACAAATCCTTACCTCATGGAATATCTTTGATGTCCTAGCTAAACGAAATATATCGTTAGCTGTTAGGTATTGAACGATATTCAAAAATGCCTTGGGCGGTAGGTTACTCAAATTTCTTTTACTATAAGCCAAATCGTAAAGGTACTCCATCACGTTGTCACCAAACACGTTTTTTAACTCCTCATGTAAATACTTATCACACTTGAAGTCGTCTATGTCTGAAAATTTTGTTCTTGGATAGGCGTGTGGTCCGTGAGTGATCTTCCAAGCATGTAAAAGTATCTGAAAAATGGCATCAAGTAGGTTAACTCTGCACTTCCCACGCAACGTCCTTATCAGCACAAACTAAGCCCTCTGAGAAAAAGTCAGTCAAACAGGTAGTGTATCTGGAAATGTCGCCTTTCCGCGATACCTACTCAGGCAGACGTGACACCATGGGCGTGGTAGTGCGGCCAGAGCATAGAAAACACTATGCTGTTGCTCGACAGAAATACGTGTGATTTCATAACAGAACAGTAATCACGGTCAGCGCACGATGCCAGCTACAGCAGCGGCGTAGAATTATCAGTGTTGGTAGTGTATCGATGTATCAGCATCAAGAATTGCGATAAGCTCTCCGCACCCCCTAACAACCCCCTCCCCCAACTTTTTTAGCTAAACATATTTTTTCAAAAATGATCAGGATGTCAAATAACCATTTTTTTAAATATAATACTATAAAAAGCAGTGAGAGAAGCACAAATTCCCCAGAGCTTCTTACAGCTGAAGGGCCAAAACTTTTCCACGCATACGCAGATGATATTGATCTCATCGGAATGAGTGTTTTAGTGGATATTTTTCTTCGGGCAAGAATAGAAGGAGAAACAAAAACTAGGGCTAAGAGGCTATGAAGTTAAAACCAAGTACATGTGCGTCAACAGACAAGGAAGAATAGAATAGAGCAAGATATAACAATATAATGTACTTCTATAGCTTTAAGAAAGTTGAGTGTTTCAAGTATCACGATCAGTGATCACTGTCGACAATGACATCACTTAGAATATCAAAAGCAGAATCCAATCTGCGACCTAGTGCATGTCCTCTCTGAATAATCTGGGCTGACAAGATCATCATAAGACTGTAGAAATGTAGACAATTGCGGAACTCTGAGTAGTACTTAAGATTTTTGACCTAAATGCAGGCGAGCATCGCCTAAGAACGTCCATCAAAATCAAGCATCTGTTCAGAAATAGCGATGTTGCCCAAGTAATCAAAAGACAGCGATTGAGATGAGCTGGCCACGTTCAGAGTCTCCACAACGATCGATTGGTAAAGTTGATCTGGAAGGAAGCACCAGCTGTTAAAAGACATTTAGATCGCCCCCATATGAGATCAAGGGATAATATAAAGTCAGAGATAGCAAAAATAGACTTAAATTTGGACCAACCAGATGGACGCAAATTGTGTAGTCAGTCACAAGCTGGAGCTGAAGAAAAGAAGACTAGCAGCGGTTTCCTCTGGAGGTTATCACTGCTTGGGGACGCAACAATCAAGTTTAATGCTTCCAAAACACTGCTCATCCGGTTTCGATGGATGGCCGAGTTCTACCAAAGACACAGTCATTTCGGCTGGTCGAAGTCCAGGTCACCGACGATTTGACCTGGCACGAAAACATCTCGCCAATAGTGGCAGCTGCTGGGAAAAAGCTGCTATGAGCATGACCTAATCACTCTATACAAGGCCTAGATAAGACCTAGCCTCGAGTATTTCTATAGGTTTGGAGTTCTGCCGCCCAGATTACACTATCCATGCTCGATGTTGTTCGGAGGAGGACTGGTCGATGACTCTTCTCTAACAGACAGCCTCAGAACCCTTTCGCACCGGCGCGGCGGGCCGTCGGCGATCTAGCACCCTTCCACCGTTACGCCAATGGGCTTTGCTCCTCAGAGCACTCCTCCATGATGCCGCCGCACGATCTGCCTACCAGACATACCCGCCTGACATCTTTTTTTATTATATCGAAGCAGCCGCGCAGGCAGAAGCCTAAATGCAGGAACACCGCGGCTGCTATGATGATCCCAAAGAAATTTTATTAATACGATTTTTTAACTGCCTAAGGTTAATAGAACTGGGAAAAGCTTCCTCTTGTAGATTGTTTCACAATCTCGACACCCTCGGGACAACGGAGCGGTCGTATCGGCCGGTTCTGGATGTACGAAGTTCGTCACGGTTAGGATGGGACGCCAAAGTTAGGCGGGTCTGTCTGGTAGGCACAACGCGCGACGGCATCATGGAAGAGAGCTCTGAGGAGCAAATCCCGTTGATGTAATGGTAGAAAAGAGCCAGATCGCCGACAGCCCGCCAGTGCGAAAGAGTCCCGAGACTGTCTGTTAGAGAAGAGTCATCGATCAGTCGGACCGCCCTCCTCTGGACAGCATCGAGCATGGATAATGTAGTCGGGGCGTCAGCACCCCAAACGTGCGAGCAATACTCGAGGCTAGGCCTTACCTGGGCCTTGTATAGAGTGAGAAGGTCATGTGGAGAAAAGTACTTCTTAGCCCTAAACAAATAGCCTAGCTTTTTCCCAGCAGCTGCAGCTATTGACGAGATGTGTTTGTGCCAGATCAGGTCCTCGGTGATCTGGACTCCGACCAGCCGAAATGAATAGCTCTTTGGCAGAACTTGCCCAGCCATCGAAACCGGATGAGCGCTAAGGCGCTTTTTGTTCGTCAAAGCACAGTACTGCGTTTTGGAAGCATTGAACTGTACAAGATTGTTGCGTCCCCAAGCAGTGATAGCCTCCAGGTCTCTTTTCAGAGAGGAAGTCATCGCTAGTCTTCTGTTTTCCAACTCAGCGGCACAGATCGGCCTGTCACTCTGAATTCCTGCATGTAGAGTGCTGTCATCAGCGAAGCTGTGGATTGGGTTGATCGTGCAGGAAAGGAGGTTGTAAGAGAAATATTGTCGGAGCCAAGACCGATCCCTGGGGAGCACCCGCGTTGACGTTGTGGGATGAAGAGGAGAACCCGTCAATTACGACGGATATCTTGCGGCCAGAGATAAAGTCAGCCAACCATCTCAAAGCTTTTCTGGGAGGGCATAGGATGGAAGTTTGCTTAAGAGGGCAGCGTGCAACAGCTGATCGAACGCTTTCGTGATGTCAAGAGCAACGACATGAGCCTCACCATAAGACTGGATGAGTTTACTCCACAAATGACTGACGTAAGCTAGGAGGTCTCCTGTGGATCGTTGGTGCCGGAAACCATACTGCCTGTCGCTAATCAAGCCGTGACGTTCGAGGTAGTCCAGAAGCTCGCGATTTATGCACCTCTCCATCACCTTACTTAAAACAGAAAGCAGAGCTATAGGCCTGTAGTTGTAAGGGTCGGTCTTAGATCCCTTTTTTGGGATGGGTTGGACATGAGCAAATTTCCAGTTTTCTGGGAAGGTGCCGGATTCATAAGATATCTGGAAGAGACGCGAAAGAACTGGAGCAAGCTCCGGTGTACACCTCTTCAGTACAATGGCAGGAATCAAGTTGTTGATGTCGAGCGACAAGAGTGCTCGTCTTACGCTCTTATGCCTGAATGTTACCTCCCGCATAGTGTAGGCATCCTTTGAATTGACGGCACTTGGGCGTTGGGGGGGACGTCCATGGTGGAGTTGGCAGCAAAGATCTTAGCTAGCACTTCCGCCTTGGCTTTTGAGTTGAATACAATAGTTCCATCCTGACACGTAAGTGGTGGAAGGCTACTCTGTGAGAGGTTCTTTTCAATCTGCTTGGCCAGCGTCCAGAAAGACCGACTGCCATTGCGTTGCGACATTACCCTGTACCTAACTTTTATATCAAGCTGGACTCAACGTCGGCTTGTCTGTTCTCTACAGTGGGGTTTTGTAAGAAGGTTGCGTCCCATCCTATCTGTGTCGAGCTTCGTTCATAGAGAACTTGCCGATGGGACCGCTCCTTCATCCCTAAGGTGTCGAAATTGTGGTACAATCTTCATGAGAAGGCCTTTCATAGTTCTTCTAACCAAAATCAGTTCAAAAACTGGATTAACAGAGTTTCTTTGGAATACCCAAAGCGGGCTCGGTGCCCTGGCATTTAAACTTCTGCTTGCGCGACTGCTTCGGTGTAAAAAAGGACCGAAGTGCTGCTATAAGTAACTAAGTAGGGTTGGAATACGCACGCTTCTCTGGATATACCTGTGTCGTGGTCTGACCTATGAGTCTCTCCCGTGACTGATGAGGGACGAAGCTAGTCATAGCAATGTTGTCAGATGATCGGTGCTGTTTGTAGGTCAGGGGAGGAATTTCTAGATCTAGACGTTGCCAAATGGATGAAACTGTTTGACTGACACGATTTCCTTGTTATCCTTCTCCGCAGCTAACTTTTTTCTCATAGCGACTAACTTGTGCCAAAAATAATTGTCTATAGCGTTGTGCGGAAAGTGCACGACTTTTTTTTTAAATGCATACTCAGACAAGTGTAAAAAGTGACTTCTAATAGGGCTTGGTGTTACTTTAAGCGACTCGTTCACTTCCAGACTTCTGATTGAGTCGATAATAGTCTTAGAAATGAAAGAAATTGCATCACATCTTGGCATAACAACAGCTTTTAAATGTGTCTATTTTGAAGATGCCATTAACACTCGGAAGTAACAATAATTATTCGATTCTATTGACAAGGGTACTCACATTTCTTTCAGTGATAGTTAAACCGTAATAATCTCTGCTGGGTGCTTTAGCTCTGGCGTAAAGTTGAAGCAATATCGGAGTCTTCGGAAAGGGTGGACTTGTCATTGTCAGAAATCAAATTTGTATATATTGTATTGTGACATACTTGACATAACATGATGATACTAGTGAATACTTTAATCATAACATCAGATATAGTCAACGCCAAACAAAGTGGCGTGCACGTCATCAAGGTGGGTGTGTTGAAAAATTTACATTGTTGCCAAACTTTTTGTAAAATAATAAAATATATTATTTACATATCTAGGTTTATAAGCAATATTAACCTCAAATGAGAACAAAAATAATAGTATAATAAAATTATAGATCTGTACTTGCATAATCATTAAGTATGACAATTACTGATCAGATGACACTATGAAACTACCATATTTAATTGATAGCTTAAAGGTACTGAATAAAAATCCAAATGGGGTCCTCCAAATTTTATGCATGGTATTTATTTTACAGAATTCATACAGAAAAATGCATTCTAAAATTAGGTAAGCTACTGGTGTAAGCTTTTTCTGTACAATAAAGTTAGTCGGAGTTTCTTTCTTCAGCGCTGTCTGAATCTGAATCTTCATCACTCTCAAAGTTGATTATTAAAGGTTCGATGTCTGGTCGATCAAAAATTCATTCTCTTTCATACCATTTAAAAATTTCTTGCTCAGTATGTCGAACACTATTTTTCCACATGTCTGGGGTAACCGTTTGTAGAGCCTCGTTCCACATATCCAAACAGTCTTTTTCACTGTTACCATCTCTACCAATATGTCTGTTATAGTAACCTTTTGCTATGCCCCAAATTAACTCAATAGGGTTAAATATACAATGGTAAGGAGGCAGACGAAGAACTTTGTGCCCATGTTGATCCGCCAATTCATCAATCACGTATATTTTAGGTGGTTTGTTTCTAAAAAAGCAGTTATTTTAAGAATAGGAATAAACAAAAGAAATATAAACTGTCGACCAAAATATATATATAATTAAGAAGCATTATGTACCGAGCAACAATACTCAATAGCTCTGTTTTAAACATTGTGTTTAAAAATGGTATGTTTTGATTTGTCAACCAGTCTTGGATATTTTTTTTTGTCCATGCATTGTTGGGCACTTTGTTCAATATTATGCTGTGATAAGGGGCGTTATCCAGTATAATCATAGATGGACTCGCCAATTTTTCTAATAACTGATGTTGAAACCATTTCAAAAAATTGTCCTGGTTCATCTCTCCATGGTAATCGCTCAATTTTGTTTTCGAAGAAAATATCGCTTCACTACCCTCAATCAACCCATTTTCATTTCCAGCATGTAATATAATGTATCTAAAATATATTAGTTTTAAATTTTATAGTGCAAATTGTGTAAAAGTACATACCTTTTACCATCTGTTTTAATAGCTTTCACGCTTTTTTGGTTTCCATTTTGCCAAGAGCGACCTATGGTCCCATTTTGAAATATCCAAGTTTCATCGAGGAAGACAAACTGGTATAAGGCCTCAACCTTGGCTTGATTGTATTGCCTTAGAAATTCCACCCTTTTCAAAGCTATACTTGGTAGTTCCATGAGCCCTCGTCGCGGATTGTCCTTAAGCCACTTAAATCCAAGATCTCTAAGCAACCGCCTTAAAGACGTGGCACTACCATCAAATAATGCCCTATCTCTTAATCGAGACCATAAAGTTTGTATCGTAACTTGTTCTTCTGAAACCATGTGTAATATGACATTATAATTTAGTTAACAAATTAATGCAAATTTCTGATAAGTTATTATAATAAGATCTTACTTTTGTGATACATATTATAGATCACTTCTCGAATGGCACTTGTATCCAATGTCGCTGTGTTGGTTACACGTTGAATATAACTCCGCTTTTTCTTGGGCGATTCTAAATTTGCATCACTTTTCACACCCTCGGAAATACGACTAACTGTCCTTAAACTAATTTTTAAAGCAGCAGCAACACGCTACAAAAAATGAAATAAAATTTCACTATTATTAATATACATTACATATAATTATTAGTAACCTACCTCTTGACCAGCATTTAAAGGCAACAAAGGCCCGTTGTTGTCCCTTTCTTGCTCAAAGTAGTGCATTAACGAGGCCACGAGTTCCTTACACCGACTATTTAACTGTTTGGGCATCTTTATATACCAAAATTGCCTTTATCTACTCGTAAAATGAATAATTTTGTTTTGAAACAAACAGTTGTTGATTTACAGTATGCGGGGCCAAAGGATTTATAAAGATTTGAAATGCCACAAATTGATTCAGTGTCAAAATTAATACAAATGTCAGTTCCCAGTTTAAATAAGTTTCAAGGTGACAATGTGTCAACGCTGCGAAATCGGTTTAGTGCGTTTACATGTCGATAAGTGATTGGAGCGTTTGCAAAACATTTTATTTCGCATAATGCGTCTAAATTTATCAGAAAGCAACTTATGTGATATTTTAATAACAATGTTTATATGACTATTAACCATAATAAGAGAGTAATGACCATTTTACAATTTATATATCACATTAATATGAAACTGCAATAGAGCAATTGTTTGTGATAGAAACCTAGGCATTAGGTCGGCGAATTTTTATCGTGATGACGTGCACGCCACTTTGTTTGGCGTTGACTATACTACAAGTGTGCTCTAGCAGTTCATGAGAAGATCTCAATATACATGTTCATCAATTCATCCTGATGACATTCGCAGAGCGACGAATCTTGTTCATGAAGTAATAGATGCTCTCCATGAATTCCGCAATGAGTAATGGAACGATTTTCTGGCGGGGATGCTTGACTCAAGTACTCCTGTTTGGAAAGTGGCGAAGTCGCTTAGATACGGAAAGCGAGAACAACTCCCGCACATCCACGGTCCTGGGGGCATATTCTTCAGGACAGAGGACAAGTTCGAGGTTTTCGCTGATGCTATGGAACGACAGTTCTCCCCCAACTATGATCTTGATAATGATCTCGACGACGAGCAACAAATTGTAAGATCCGTGAGGAGATATTTTAGGGCCAACGGAGTCAGTGATCCCGGCGCCGCCATTAGTGACTTTTCCTCAGAATATTTTTTTTGGAAGATTCTTCAGCTGAAGAGTTGCACAGTACATCAGCGGCTTCTCCCAAGATCCCGCATTGCACACCAGCAGAGCTTCAAGGTCATATTAGAGACCTCAAGGTGGCTAAAGTGCCTGGGGAGCATCAAATCACTAATAAGGCGCTGAAGCTGCTTTCACGGAAGTCCTTGACTTATCTCGTGGCTATTATAAATGCCATGCTAAGGATCCAGTACTTTCCATTGGCGTGGAAGACTGCGGAAGTTATAATGATTCCAAAAAAGGTGGTTTAGATATTTCCCCAGGACTATCGTCCCATCAGCCTACTGTCTGCTCCGTCTAAGCTTGCTGAAAAGGTGATTCTACGTCACCTTGCGAATTTGTCGTCAGATCACCATGTGATTCCTGACGTGCAATTTGGATTTCGGTCTGAGCATAGTACGGAGTTTACAGGCGGTTAGGCTTGTGGAGCGAGTAACCAGGGGCTTCACCCTTAACGAAAGTACTGGCATCTTGCTTCTGGATGTCTCGAAGTGATTTGACAAGGTGTGGCACAAGTACCTTCTCTATAAAATAATTCAAATCGGCTTTTCATTTTGGGTCCCAAAACTTTTGAAATCCTTCCTTGAAGGTAGGAAATTTCGGAGAGTTAGTGTGGATGGTTCTATTCTTTGAGGAGTGACCTCAAATTCTGACAGCTGTTGACATTTGCCCAACAAGATGTGAATGCGTCCAGTTTCGGGGAAATAACGTGTTCCTGGGGTCCTCATATTATTAAACGTAAAAAAAACAACCACTGTTACTCAGTAATCCTACTACCTCATTTCAAGAGTTAACCCTTAGATGAAATATCCTGCTTTAGTCTAACAATTGTCTGAATTGGCTCTGAAAAGAGCTTACTAAGTTCACTGTATTTACTTGCTGCTTGCATTGGGTTTTCCGGTTCTCTCTTGAGGTATCTTAGCTGAGAGCCTTCTACAGTATGAGAAAATGGATGAATAAAAAACAAATCACATTTATGACTTTTTATTTTGAATGAAATACTAAGAATGAGACAATAAATTATTAAATTAATATCACATAAAATCATGATACCAAATCATATCCACAGAAAAATAAAAAAAAAACAACTGCAACTGCGCTAGGCGTGAATACAAACATACCAAGCTTAAAATTTATAAATAATAAAAAATACTTATGCGTTCTAACGCATTATCAATAAAAATAAAATAGTTATTCCATAAAAAAATAAATAAATTTTTGGTCAAATATATTTTCATTTACACATAAGAAAACTAGAATATTCAGTGTGCATCAAGATATACTGGTTCTAATATAATATAAAATTTTAACCATTCCTTTCAAATGTACAGGCCCACTTAATGACTTTTACTTAGCTACATTAGAAGAAAAATATAAAATAAGCTTTGCCTGCTTGTAAGATAATATGCGACAAAGATATCATATTTTTTTTGATGGAACCTGTTTGTGGACACTGCTATTAAGCCAGAAAAATTGATAGTTCAAAAAATGCGAACCATATATTTTGATACATGCTTCACTTCAATATCATCTTAAATATTAACCTTAAATGTAAAAGTGTTGCTGTTCTACCAACTACAGTACATGTAGTCCAAAATATCCTAAGTAAAATGATTGTACGAGACATATTAAATTGGAGGAAAGGTCACTAATGACCTGCTGCAGAGAAAATTGTTTGGAAGTGATCACATATACGTTTCATCAAGGGAAATAGAGAAGCAGATAGATTATCAAGTTGTTATTAAACATTCTGGTGATGCTTCTTTCAAGAGAATTTAATTTGTTGTGCAAATTTTTGAATTCGTGAAAGTTGCTCATAAAAGTGCCAAAGCACTCCTTGAGATGGTAGAGGAGAGCGCTAAAAAACATTTGTCTCTCGGCGCGGCACACTGAAGAGAAAAACTCCCGCGATGTCACGAGTACCAGTCGGCATCTCGTGGCAGACCGCAAGCTTACGACGGTTTCTATAGTCCGGCAACCAGAGCTCCCGCGGAATGATAAAGTCTCCAGCAGTGGGATCCCACACCGTTCCCTTTAAGGAGAGATTTTTATTTCCCATACTGCCGCGGAGGAACGCGTTAACATGCTGCGGCAGCTCTTAGACGGTATGCCATCCCCAGTGAGTGCTAGCCCTCTTTGGTATAAAAGTTGCCTTAGCGTATTCAATTTAAGTTTAACAGCTTATGAATTTCTAGAAAATGCGAAAAACTGTAGGGAAGGACTATTTGCCCAACAAAGTGCCTTGGCTGTTGAACTGTATGACACATAATAAGAATTAAATCTGCTTCCAATTGTGTATGATCAGCATGAGTAGTTTGTTAATAATATGCTGACTTGAGTTATATTCAAAATTGCTTCCAAGAAACACGTAATGCGTAATTCGTCAACTTACTGCAAAAACAAGACAAATCCATTTTTTACGTTTTGAAATGAAACATTTTCAAACTCATACCTGTTACGGATAAACTTTGTATTTGAATAGAACTTGTTTCCTTATTTTCTTTCTAATTTTGCATTTGAATTAAATTGTCACGCCCCCGTTCTTTATCAAGGGTTGTCGACATGTAAGTGCCAATTATTATAAAATTCGTAAACTAGTAATATCGCTTTCGTTCATCCGACCACAGACGGCCAACCATGGACTGCTGTTTCGTGCTATTTGGCTACTCATCAGCATGGTGTAGGCTACGTATCGGTGGACAATGAACGAAAGCTGAACAGCTCGACTCTATTCAGAGTATAAGGTTTATCGAAATAAGCTAACGCAAAGCGCCATCTATTACCAGAATCGACCACTGCGACAGTGAAAACAGAAAGCTGTCTGTTGGAACTGTATCCCTGTTCACATTGTTAGCCGGGTCACTACTGTGGTCGCAAGATGCCGCCGATATTGTGCCATACTAGATAGTAGACAGTGTCACTGTCACAGTAGGCAATTCTTATAATAGATGGCGCTTTGTACAATCTTATTTCGTTAAAAAAATCGTTTTATAATTTATCTGGTTTTTGCACTAACTCAACGATTTACTTCACTGAGTAGAAGTCACGGTAAATTTAGGCGACGATCTGTTTGACAGTAGGATGGGGTATCTTTGATTCAACCTTGGGTAAAAAATAATTCTCTGGTCTAAGAGAATCTTAAATTTGACGTTATTAGAAAAGAAGAGTACATCTTTGCCTCTAAATAATTCAGTAACTTCACCCATCGGTAAATGGTAGCTCAAAAGATCTCTCAGCTTCAGAGCAGGTATCCATAGTGTCGACATCCTCAGAACAGGTTACTGTGTTCCTTTCCAAAGCTCTCATACGGATCTTCATATGTTCAAGCATCTTGTCAATGGCTCTCAGTCGTTTTTCCAAGCTGGTGGTGCTTAGAAAGCCGATCTGTAAGCGAATTTGAAAAACTGTTAAAAAAGGTCCGCTGAGTTGTGTAGAACTCAACATTTTCATAATTACACCTTTTTACACAATTTGTATAAAATTATTGTGTTCCAAAACGGAAGAGAGTAGCATAACTCATCGGCAAAGTCAATGCGCGTTAGTGGTATACGATATATTTTGCTACTCTCTTCTGTTTCGGTACGAGACTATTTGAAAAATTGTTTTTACCTGTAGTTGAGAGCTCAGTGGTAATATGGGCATTAACCACCAAGCCCACATTGGTCCATCAGGTTTCTCCCACCACTGTTCTTCTACTTTAGGCATTTGTCCAATTAGTCGTTCAACTTCTGCCAAAACTCTAGGTTTTAATGACCGAATCCACCTAGAAGATAAGAAAAAAGTTTTTAGATACTGGTTAATATTATTTTTTTTGTTAAGATTTATTTAACATGAATGCTACAATTACATTCTTCTAAAAAATTAAACAATTACATAACCTTCAGAAAAGAAAGAAAAAAAAATGAAATTTAATTTTTTTTTGTACCTTATGTTGCCGTGCTAATCACAGATATCTGCAATTATCGGGCATATTTGGTTAGTAACTACTGGGTTACTGTCATTTTCTCTACTCATTAGTAACATTTTGAAGCCGTAAACATATAATAATACATTTTTGTTTGGCTTATTTGTACAAATGTATCAGAGGTTATAACTTTAGACGAATTTTTTTCGATTTCATGCTAGGTACACTCTTAGCACACACTCGTCAAGAAATCTAACTAGTGTTTTGAAAGTCCAACTTCGGCATTATTCGAAAGCATATCCCTCTGTGACCAAATTCGAATGACATACGTTTTTAAGAAGAAACATTGTTCGTAATAAATTGTGCGAACTTAAATTCCCGGGTTCAGAAATATAATCAAACGAAATTCAATATTCTTTTTCTTTTCTTTCATATTTACCTAAACGCTTTGGCATGAACTTTGGCGTGCAGGTTTTGAAGCTCCGGTAACTTGTCGGCAGAAGTTACAGCATCAGAAATGTATTGTACTGTTGCTGTATCGTAACCATCCTGAAAATCAAAAAAAATGTTATTTTTAAAATGATTATAAAATAACGATGATTAATAGACACTCTTCAAAAAATAAATTTCCAGCTAATTTTCAATGAGTCCATGCGGACTTTTCGTATAACTAACCTGTTCACTTCTAGCCAACACCTTAAACCTCCGCATTCCCACAGTAGTCAGTATGAACCTGCCATCCTGCAACGATATAGCATCCTTGATCTCTAGAACTGTGCCTACTTGAGCAAATCGCTCTCCGCTGCTGGCAGGGGCCCTGCCGGCCATTGCGAACCTTTTCGTACTGGATCGAAGACAGCGTCGTGCCAAAAGCCTGTAGCGGGGTTCGTAGACGTATAGGGGGCATGCAACTCCTGGGAAGGCGTTGATGCATATGAATACTGGGAGCTGAAAAAGAAAGAATTTGGTTAGTTATTATTGGAGGACATAAAAATCAATAATATACCAGACTGAGGATGGAACCTGTCGTAGAAAAAATTGTATAGACGGATCTTACAACGGAATTATATTTTGATGCACCTCATCTAGAAGTACAAATAATTTACGTCAAAATTATACGAATCTGAATACAATACAATAAACTATGAATTTTGGGATGAGTGCACCTCAGGGAAGTGGGAGATGGAAAGGATTTCAAAATGGCATCTTATTATGTTCACTTCACTGCAGCGGTTATGTCACTGTAACCTGCTAGAGAGTTAGATAGTTTTTTATGGCGACTCGTTAACTTTTGGTTATGATTTACTTATAAGCGTTTTTTAGTAACAACAGATTAACCGCAGCAACAAAATGACTACATTAAATCTTATTTTGAAGGACTTCTGATCTCTTACTCTTCTCTGGACCACATACAGTACTTTCTTTATATTTGCGTAAAGGCAGCTTTTCCAGTATGGTTGAATAATACCCATTTGAATTTCTTGATTTCATTTACCCCTCGATTTACCCTCCTTGTAACTCCTTCTCTCATCTATATATTTTGATTAGATAACATGATCAACAAGGCGGTATTTTACTAAACGCAAACTTATCCAGTTTAGAACCATGCATTGTAAACCCAATTATATTACGCAGTGCTTTTAAAAATATTTTTGAATTTCGGAAAGTTGGTGCATAAATACTATAATTTGATTGAAAATTAATAATTTTCTTTAAATAGAAGGGAGGTCACGCGATATCTAATTATAGGGCTCCTTATTAAGAATTACAACACCAGGATTTTAAATTAACTTATTTTTAAAACGGCAGGCTGTTTATGAATATGCAACACACATAGATGGAGTACTGAATTCAGTTGCAAAATGCCATATAGCGCTTAATTTCAACAAACAGGCAGAGACAATGACTCTCTTTCTCAACCAGGCAACATAAAATATAGAATTTTAAGAGGATAATAAACAACATAGCGCTCAAATATCATTACCGTATGCCTAGCATTGTTCGAAATAAGATTAACGACTTCGTAAACTGCAGTCAAACGTATCTCTAGAATGACATTATTTTCAATGTGTAACATCCCAAGAAGCCTTGAAATGAAAATACTCATTGTAAAGTATATGGGCTCAATAGTAGCAGGATCACTGGCGGAAAAAGCTTTCATGTTCGAATTCCATCCATAACCGCCTTGCAGTAAAGCCACGTTTAATTTGTTTTATTTTTGTACTCAATCCTTTCTGACATCAGTGCTCTTGTTTATATCTGGTAAAAACATCATCTACCGAAGATATCACCTGTTGCTTGAATGGAAGTTTTTTTTTCTCATTAGTGTTGTCTTACTGTCATGTTTGTTTTCACAATTGAAATCGCGTCACCAGCAACTAATTATATGAACCTGCATATACTCAATCGATTTCAGTGGACGCAATACCCTTTTTTTTATTTCGGCTCAACAGGATCGCTTTCTCTCTATTAGAATCCTCGTCACACACCAACTAAGAAGTGCATAACGTGAAAACAGTTTGAGATATTATAAACCACAGCTCCTCCTGCTTATTTTTGAAAAAAATGTTTGAGGGGTAAATAATTTGGGATGTGGGTTGTAGGGGGTGGGACAAGGTGTATCGGATTTTGTGGCACTAGTATATTCATATATGTAATGTAATAACATGAACTTAGTAATTTGCTAACATAGCCTACTGGGACCACTCGTTTTACTGTCAATAGTTATCATCTCCAAAGGAGGTCCGGGGCGAATCATAGGGATCAGCCCCCGTATATCTAGCCTCGAGCCTTCTAGCACCCCTGTCCATTCTAAGCCTTAAGACCCACTTCTTGACGTATGCATATGTAACCTCAAGTCCTGAAGTGTCTCCATGATTACTAGAGATAGGAGGTTAAACTGGAGCTGCGCTTAGGGCATCTCTCTCATGGTAAATAGCATAACTCAGGTTCTGCGCATGTCTCTATTGCTGGCATCATGACGGTAAACAACTCCAATTCTGGCAATTCGGATGAGTTCCAAGCAGAAATATTGAATAACTTTAACAAACCATGAATTAATAAATGTACAAAGTATGGCAAGATGCTAGTGAAATGCACCTGAAGATTGCGGCAGGAATTTTTGACATTTTTCAATGCGCATACTCTCTACGCCATTTTCTACGCCCACTAAATTTACGAGAGCCTCACTATCCTTGGCAATGGGATTGGCTTCATAGGAATATGTTTATACCTTACATAGTTTAACCTCCTATCTCTAGTCTTCGTGAGTGTCTCATAGTTTAAGCAGTTTGAATATTATTTCTATTCAACCACGTTTTAAGTAGCTTCATAAGAAAAAGAAACGGGTTTGTCCGCGGAGTGATCCTACTCCTCATTAATCTCTAAGCTCTGCTTGTACAAAGCAACGTTATTGTTCTCCATAGAATTACATAGCACTTTTTGTTGTTATCGGGCTAATTATGCGAGTTAAAAATACGGTTCTGAGAACCGCGGGACGATAACCCGATAACTTTCAACTTTACGATGCGTCGACCGATGCGGTGACAAAAATATTTTTTTATTGTTTTGAGAAAGTTAAAAATAATCTCTGAGCAGTAACCATAATGTAACGTAGAGATATCATACGGAGAGTTATTGGCCTGTTGACAGTAAACAGAGTGTTTTTTAAAAAGTGAATTCAATTCGAATGAACCGTCACTCCTATAAATAAGAATTTTTTGGAATATTTTGTTTAACTTTTTCGTACAAGTCTACACCACTCAACACGTAATCCCAGAATTGTAATTTCTGAAACAGGGACGGAGGTACGTATAATGAATCATGTTTGTTTTCAATGTTTCAGTGTTTTGAACCACTTTCTTCATATAAAGCAACCAAAGCACTGAAATGGTTATGTGCAACCTATTTCATCAATATTCTTAACAACAGATTCTAGTGGATCTATTCCAGGTGCCACTTTTTCACAATGCATCAGTATAAAGATTTCGATTCTTTCAGTCTCAAGTTAACTAATTAGCAGATTATCCTACATAATACTTACATCAGAACTCCTTTCCAGCATAAGATTTTCCTTAATACTAAGCGAAACCCTTTCACTGAAGTCATCTGGTATCAGAAATTGAATGGCTTGTTGAAGCACTTCTGTGGTTCCTCTTGAGTAATCGCTCACGTTCAGTGAAGCCATGCATAGAGGACAAGATAGTCCGTGGTCTAAAACTCGTGTCAGGCAGCCCCTAAAATTGCAAATTTTCATTGATACCTCATATACCGGGTGCAACAAAGTAACATAACTGTTTGTAACGTATTTTTCCTGATAAGCTATTTATGAAAAAGGTCAAGGTCTTCAACAACTTTGAGCGAGAAGTTTATTTGTCCTTGAAGCCCACCATCAAGGTCAATACAAGGTCAACTTTAGCTTTTTAAATGATTCGAAATGAAATTAAGGTCAAGTTTATGGGGCTATGGAAGATTCGTAGGAGTTTGAGAGTATTATTAGTGAAAAAAATTATAGGACATGTCTTTAGTAACTCTTAACGAGGATTTCAATGATGATTTTGGATCCAACATCAAACTTCAGCTTCAAAATAATTTCAAGGTCAACCTTTTCTTAACTAGCCTTTTAACACCGGAAAGGGAAAGTTTTACGTTCTAATACATACTCATGTACTATTATGACCTTGAAGGTGAGGCTCAGGGTCAATTCTAAAGTTAATATTGAAATCCTTCATAAAAGGTACTAAATGTCTGACTTCGATCTTCTCATTAATAATCCCGTCAAATTTTTTTAGGGCATCCATTTGACCTTCATTTGACGTTTAGGGGTAATCTTGATTTTAGACCTTAGTTAATATTCTGACATATAATTTTCCGTTTTTTCGATTGCCGGTGTCAAAAGGGGGATTTTCATTTGACGTTGAAGTAACTTTGAAGATGACGTACAAAGTCAAATGTAAAGTCACCATTGAACTTCTTGTTCAAAGTTACTAGATAACTGACCTTGAGCTTTTCCAAAAATACCGTTCCTGGAGAAATACAGAACCAGTCCGTTAATCTTAATACACCCGGTATAATTTGGATCACACATTCTGTTTTTCGCAGGCTAATCAATAATATTCACCAAACAATTAATGATGGAAAAATTGTCATTGGCTCTAGTATATAAGAGAACAAACAGGCTAGGCGAAAAAAGTTGTTTGTAAAAAACAGAAAGTGGGAGAATGAGCAAAAAGGCAGGATTATGGAAAGCTATATTTTCTAAACTAGTTTCTAACCTGCAGAACGTGTGCCCACAGCCGGTAGTAACAGGATCCAAAAGACATCTACTGCACAAAATACATTCTAGGTCAGAAATTGATATGCAGTCCCAAGAATGTTTCAAGGCCTCATCTAGAATAGAAACGATTATTTTTATTTCTTTTTTGCAGCTTATTTGCCTAGTCAAGTTTATCTCAAAGAAATTTCAAGGTTTTTTTTCAAACTAGAATTACTACTCTCGGCATTTTTTTTTATTTCAATTTGCCGACGTTCATGGGTTAACCAACATATCTTTGAACAGTTTATTTGGTTACAATCATTAACCAAATAGCTAGGTGGATTGTTTCACAGAATCATATCCCGTTATTAAACACAACTTACTGAAGGTCAGTGAACTCTGTAAATAATGTAAGAATACCATGATCAATATTATACGCCACATATTCTCAGAATGGCGGACGCGCTGGTAGTTTATCAAGTGTCAAGGTACGTTTCTAAGCAAGCTAGCACAATACACACATACATCTTGAATTTCCTGAATGATAAATGGTTGGTACTATTTTTAACGAAAATCCAAAAAGTGTAGAAAACTATTCGACTTTCAAAATTATGGTCGAGATGACTTTGACCTTAGTTAGTTTTCATATAAAAATAGCGATGGCGATGGCCGCAAGAAGAGTTCAAATATCTACGTATATATATTAAGCATAATCTTGGCCTTGCCAGAGAAATACAACTCAAATATTTGAATAAAGAATACTTTAGTGATGATAAAATCTTAATATTCTTACCTTTGATATAATCCACTTCTTTAAATACGTTCCTAAGAGTATCTTCAAACTGATCACATTTTCTCAAACATTCCTCATCCAGCCATTTGTAACCGTTACAGTAAGAATTTGAAAGGTTGCTGCTTTTCAATATCCTTTTATGTTTGTACTTTGAAAACCTGTCGACTCCTGCGTCTAGTAGTCCCATTATCTGGAGTAAATAACAAATTTCAACGCGATAAAAAATGGCGTCAAGTAGGTTGACTATGCACTTTTCCGTTATCAGTTCATTAAGGATCATATCTGAGAAAAAGTCAGTTAAACAGGTTCATGCAATTAATCCATAGACATTCTTTCCCTGCCCTACCGGTAGTGCGTCTGGAAAAGTCGCCTCTCCCCGATACATAATCAGGTCAGACGTAGCAATGCGGTCAGAGCATAGGAACACTATGCTCTGGTGCGGCAGAAATGTGTAAAATACCATACCAGAACAAAAATAAAAATAAATTACTGTGCTACTGTACCATTTTGGGTGAAAGCAGAATAGGCATAAAATATAGCGTCACACTTACCCTGTCTTCAATGGCCTTGTTTATCTGGAGACCAGCATATCCTGACCTCAGATGATACCTTGGCTCCACTCCTAGTATATCTACCGTTTCAGGAACTTTTGGACCTGGAACAAAGTAGATATCCAATTCAGTAAATTCACATCCAATAATAAATATCGATTTAAAGAGATAGGCTATTATCAAAAATCATTTGATATCCTGATTCAGTTTATTAAGTTCGTCTCTATGACTATAACCAACCGGATACAACTCTGATTCATAGGTCTAGTCATTGAGACAGACAACGGAAGGCAAACAAGTGATCATGGGTCTACCAAAAAACCACCGACCCCTACGTTGGTAGCTGAAAACCGAATGCGTTTTGCGCCGTACTTCCCATCACATGGGCGTCTCGTCACTCAGGTGAGCACCAAGTGCTCATCATGCTAGCTATGACGCAGTATGCAAGAGTTGCACAAACTTAACAAACGCCGAATAGGATCTGTTTGTGTTCTGACTTTCAGTCGGAGTTTGGTGAACAATTAGTGCTGTCCTGAGTGAGGAGATGTCTATGTGATGTGATGGGTGACATTTGTCCGTTTTCCTGGGGAAGATATACGCAAAGAGGCATAAGTGATTTAGCTTAAATGATTACACAGGCCGACTTGGAGATGATGTTAACAGTTTTTCTAGAAAAAAATTATTCGCCAGGCTACATAACCTTAAATATAGGCAAACATTGCTCTTTTGCACTTTTCGGTTAGAACATCAAGGAAATTAGAGCCAGTTGAGAGCTGTGGACCTACGGATTAGGATTCAGCGCGTCGAAAACCTTCAGGAAAGTATACACTGGTTTCTGGCTAAAAAGGTTGGCTCACCTTTGTCGGCCTGTGGTATTCTTTCTCTAATAAGGACTCTAGAGCGGATTTGACCTCCAACCAATTGTAGTTGCTTTATATTCAAGAATTACTTCAAGTCCAAGTAGTATCTACGTATGTTGTGTAAGCTTCTATTATTGCGCAATGTTATGGACTCCAAGTTTTCATTAAACGATTTTATTACTCAATAAAAAAAAGTTAATTGTTTGACTACAAATCCTTCTTATCTGTGCAATGTTGACAATAATAATAAACACATTTGCTTTGTACGTCATTCCGATAAAAAACAAAGGATATTAGTACATGCGGCAACATTTTTGTTTTCATTATTTTATATTATCTATACACGTGTAATGTACTAGTAGTTTGGATAAGGGGTCTACGAAATGCCACTACGGAGAAAATGCTGGTGCCATTGTAGACAAGGGGATAATTTGGCGATCATATTGTGAGACATTAAACTCCATATCACCTTTCGGCAGCTTTACCTCTTATTATATAAACATTCAAAATTGAGTTTGATTAACAAGATGACAATGACTTACTTGTGTAGCTTGGCGTTTCATTACCAAGTCACACATGCGAAATCTCCATGGTACGGCTATCTAAACCCTTCACAGAGACCTCAATATCCAAGCGGAATCGCACAGCAACACTTGGTTGCGCGAGTCACTGGACTACACAGTCGAGCAAGTTCGTAAACATAAAATTCCGCGGCTATCACAATAATCAAAACAAATTTGTAAATTTAGAACAATCAAAATTAGAGCATTCTGACATACGAAAACCAAATAATTTTGTACATCAAAAATTGTCAAGTAATTTTAACAATCGCTAATCGCTCCCTGCCCTGAAAGATTATCTTCCTTTTCTTTGCGTTCTCCCTTCCTTCTCTCCTTTTGCTTACATGTTTCCCTTAATGTTGTCTGGTTTCTGCGGCACCAAACCTTACAGACTTGTTAGCTGACCTGTGACACAAGAGATAAGGTCCTACGGATCGCTATGATAACCAACGATGACGTAACCTGATTTGACAAACACCAACTTAGATTGAGCTATATCGTCAATGTAGACGAGATCGTTAGTTGCTACGTCAAATAATATCTTCCGTGCAATACTCAATGGGGTATTATCCAAAAAATTATGTCAATATGTCTTTCATTCTGTCACGCGAAGAAGCAAAACTCCGAAAAAATATGCAGATCTTACTGACTGATTCCTTTGGGAGCAAAAAGAGAGGTTTTTTTTTAAATATTCAAATTTCAAATACATTTCTTCAATACATAAACAAAAAAGAGGATGAACTGCATCATTCTTGGAAAATTGTAAACAGTTTATTTCTGTTGATAAGTTATTTGGATTCGTCAGTCTGACAACACCGAACTGATCGACGATTTCAGACACAGACACATGTTTGATACACAATCGAGGCGCACACAAACAACCTTAGGCTAGGTCATGATGCCAAGTTCGCCAAATCGCCGACGGTCCAGACAAAAATAAAAGAGATATTGATGTGAGCAAAATCTGGTTTTAGTTTTGCCCTCTAGCTTTTGGGTGGTTGACAGGTATAGACCCAAAGCAAAGCCGTTACTAAGTCAGCTTTTCAAAGGGATAACTGGTTTGGGATTCTAAAATATGCAACAAAATTGTGGTGATATCGTTCACACGGAGAAAAGAGTACATACAGTACCTTTCCTAAAGCTCCCCAAGCAACATAAAGTATGGGGTGATGAAACTGGTGTATTAATATTATAGCTTGGAAGCGTAGTTTATAATTTCAAGACGGCGGTTGGACGTCAGATTGTTTATCAAGGGTTGTTTTTGAGTCCAATACTGATAACATCCTTCTATGTACGATCCAGAACCCCAGGGAAAAAGAGAGAGAATCCTTCTTTTCTTACATACATGAAAAGTTGCTGAAAATAGTTACATACCTAGTTTTAATAAATGAAAATGGCGACGAATAAAAGAATAATTCGAAGTTGTTTACTGTATGAGTACAAACTTGGTACAAAAGCTACAGCGGCGGCACGAAAAATATGTACCGCATTCGGAGATGATGCCGTTAGTGATCGAGCAGCACAGAAGTTGATCCAAAAAATTTTCTTCGGAAGATCTCAGTTTGAGCGATGAACCGCGCTCAGGGGACCGGTTGTGGATGCAAATTCCAGGACAACGTGCCAAGAACTGGCAGAAATGTTCAGACTGAGTCCTGAAACTATTCGTTTGCATCTTCATCAGCTAGGAAAGACGTGGAAGTTAAGCAAATGGGTCCCACATGAACCGACAAATGATAACAAATCAAGTCGTCTTATCATTTGTTCAGCAAAAATTTCACGCAACGCTAATGAGCCATTTGTTGATCGGTTATTAACCTGCGGTGAAAAATGGATCTTGTATTTGAATTCTGAGCGTTCGTATCATTGATTGTCGCCTACTAATTCGGTACCACACACGCCCAGGGCTTCCTTGCACCCAAACAAAGTTTTGTTGTGTGTTTGGTGGACATCAGTTGGAATTGTCCATTATGAGTTTTTTTAAAGGGTTCAAACCATCACTGCTTACTTGTATTGTGAGCAGCTTCAACGAGTACAAGCAGCACTCATCCAGAAACAGCCTTCTTTGATCAATCGGAAGAAAGTGATATGTGATGGTAATTACTTAGAAGAATAAATAGTGTCTTATTGTTTCTTAATAAAAAATTATATTTTTCTACTAAAAACCGCAGGAACTTATTTGGTTTGATAGTACCTTCCGAACAGAAAAGTAGGCCTCAAACACTCATTTGTTTCTGTTGGATATTCTTCGAGTTTTGAGAGGAAACCATTTGGATTCGGCCTGGAATACTGTTCCCATGCCTGGGCTGTTATGCGTTATTTATGTGGAATAGATGGGTCTAAACTAAGATTACGCGACCTGGGTTGGCAGATCATATCTCAGATCGACTTCATTTTTTTAATCTCCGTGGACAATTTTATTTCTGATTATATTATGAAACCTAATACCTTCCACGGTAGGAGTATCGAGAAAATGGGAAACTTTCCAAAACGATAAAATTCACATTTTTTTCCAAACCTCCAAATTTTGGGCTCGTCTCTAGAATCCTAAAAATGTATAAAGCTTCATGTCTCCAGAAATACGTTTCAGTTTTAACCCAGCTGTACGAAAATTTTTCGATTGACTGCGTATCACTTACAGAAAAATATTTATGTTGTTATTACAAATGGTAAATTGATGCATTATTTTGGAGTCGATATCAAATAAGAACTTCCATTTGATCGATGCGCCACTGAGTTTACCGTGGTGGTCTTCGTTCCAGCGGAACAGCCAACGTTTTCGATGCAACCGAAGAGGAGAAGAAGCAGACAAAGAAAATGGTCAGGTCAGTGCATTCAATGCCATCAGGTCGACGGACGAAGGCAAGACAGCATTCTCAGACACGTCGCACTCAACTGAACGATGCATCCATCGTCCGCATGGCTGGATACTTGATACTCAATTGTCATATTATGAATCATTTTATACAATTCAATAATAATCTATATTTCAAGTACCAAATGCTGTTGGGCGGTTGTCAGTAAGTTGTTTTGAAAGCCTGAGAAGCTACATACACTTCTCATTTCATGCTCTAAGCACGTTCTGTTGTTCTTTCCCACGCGTGATTGACAAGTTATTAGTTCAATACGTCAAAGGTGCTTGGTGTCTCAAAAATGTCAAACGTTGACCTCTCCAGCGATGCGATACAAGAAAATGCTTTTAGTTAAGGTGCTAATATACTCTCATACGTACTCAATAAATTATAAATAAATTACTCTCAGAATATTTCAGACAAACAAATATTGCTTCATCATTTATCAAAATTTTCCAAGAACATCAGCCGATATAATCCAATAATGGGTAGCAGCGAGACAGGCAATAACAAACTTAAAAATTTGGCAACTGAATCTAGCATTATGTCTGTAAAAGGGATTTTTGTGCAGAAAAGGTAGAGTTACTGAAAAGTGGATAACATGCATCCTCCATATCCTGCCACCGAATCTTGTATTTGTATATTATTTATAACCTGGTTTCTTCAAAGCACGAAATACAGTTTTGATAAGCAACTAAAAACGTTATTTTTTGTTTAGTTATTTTGAATGAAAACATTCAGAGCACTTACATCAAAGTTTTTTGTTCTATATAATTACATACACCTCACAAGACAAGACGCATTTAACACATGTCAATTTTTTATACTGGCCTTT